CTTTTAACGTTACGGTATATCGTTTTATAACGTAACGTTTAAAGTTAAACTTACGGTCGAATTAAACTTTAAGTTAACGAACGGTTAAAAAAACGTTTTATTTATTTTAACGGTTAAATAATAATAAAAAAGTAAGTAAAATAATAAGTTAGTCGTTTACTTTTACTATTAAGTTATCTTTATATTTACCGTAAACGAAGTATATAAATTTAAACTTTTCTTATATAAAACCGATTTTATATAAACGACTTTAGTTTAAAATACGTCGTAAGTCGACGACGAAAGAGAGAGTTATATTTTTAAAGTGTTTACCGATATAAAAAAGGACGACGTCGTCCGTATACTTGTAACGAAGGTTTAACTCCGTCGAAAGGAGGTCGGTAATATAAAGTATAAATAAAAAGAAAGATTATAAACTACTTTATAAAGTGTCGTAAACGAACGTATACGTATTTATAATATAGTCTTTTAATTAAACCCGGATACGTCGGTCCGTAAAAAAAAAACCTATTAATCGTACCGTATCTTTATACTAGTTTTAATTAAATAATTATTATAATAAACGTTTATAAAAAAGTACGTTAAAAACCTTTTATACGTCGAGTGTAAAAAAACGATACTATTTACCTTTTAACGAGGGTCCGTTATACGTCGTACGTAAAGTATATAATTAAATTAATAATAAACCGTTTCGAAAGTACCTTTATTTATTAAAAAAAAAATACCCGTTTAAATAACTATAACGGTTATTCGTCGTATAAAGAGCCTTTTTAAACCCTTATTAAATATTAATAAAAGGGTAATCGAACGTTATAATCTCGGGTTCGTTAAGTCTTTTTTATTAAGTTTAACGAGTATAACTACTTTAACCGTTTTTTATTACTATAAAAAGTAATATAAGTCGATATATACGTTATAAACCTTAATAAAAATAAGTCTTATATATAATTAAGTCGTTTTTAAAAAAGTAATAAAAATACCATCGATTTTAAAAGACGTATTCGTAACTTTTATAATTAAACGACGTACCTTCGTTTTAATAATAAGTTTAATATACGATAAAAAAGGATATAACGGTTAAGGATATATAATAAGTAAAAGGTTTACCGTTAAGTTTTTTATAACCGAAAACTTATTTATAAACGTATATACGAATAAGTTAACCTTTTCGATTAACGTATTATACCGTTTACCGTTAAAGGTTAACGAAAACGTCCGTCTTTTAAAGGTTACGTTATATTAACCGGTGATTCGGTATAAGTCTTTAACGTAACTAACGTCGTTTATAACGGACGTTTAATAGTTACGTTTAATTAAACGGACTATATTTTTATAATACCGTTATACGAACGTCTTTTTTTTTTAAAACGTAATATATATTATACGTAAACTAGTCCCGTTTAATTTTACGGTAAACGTCCGACTATTACGGTATAAGTATTCCTTACTTTATCCTTTTCCGTTTTATTACCCGTAAAACCGTAGTATAATAATTAATAATCCTTATTATTTATTAGTTTACGTTCTCGTATATATTTAAAAAAGGGTCGACTAGTAGTCGGTCGGTTACGGTTTTAAAGTAGTCCGTAAAACGTAAAAGGACGTTTAAGGTTACGTTATACGTCGAGGACGGTCTAGTTTAAAACCGTCGTTCGAGTATAATAGTAAAAAGGGTTTCGTAGTTAAAGTTAAAACGTAAGTCTTTAATTATAAACGTAGTAATAAATAATATATTAAAAAAAACGAGATCGAATACCCTCTTATTTTAATACGTTAAAACGTTAACCTTTTTTATAAATACTAGTTTATTAACGTCCGTTTAGTTCGTTAACGTTAACCCTCGAATACGTACTTCCTTTTTAAAGTTTTATTATTAAAAGGTTACGTTAAAGTTATTACTTATTACGAAATCTATTAATAAAATAATCTTTAAAATAAAGTTTATAATCTCGTATATATTAAACTCGTAATAAATATTTAAATAAATAATATTATTAATCTTTATTTAAATAACGTCTTTAATTAAACTATTTAACTTATAAAGTTTTATTTTATAACTTACGTTTTTATAAACGTAAAATATAACTCGTAGTCTCGTTACCTCGGTATTATTTTAAGTATCCGTAAGTATTAAAGTATCGTATCGTAAGTACGTAACGGTGTTTAAAAACGTTTTTATATAAAACTTTTATATATATATTATATCGACGTAGTTTATATTCGTCGTAGTTAAAATAAAGTTATATTATACGGTCGTATACGTTACGTTATATTATATTACGTAAGTGTTAACCCGTTAATTTAATAAAAAAGGGTAAAACGACTAGTTTTTATTTTTAACGTTCGTATATTAATTAAGTATTATTTATATCGACGTTAAGTTAATCGGTATTTAAAAGGTTAAATATATTTTAAAAAACCTTTTTACGTTATAAAAAAAAAGGAAATAATATTCCGTTTCGGTTTTTTATTAATCGAGTTTTAAACGGACTCTTTTAAGGTTTTATTTTAAACGACGGTTATCGTTCCGGTTTTAAACGAAAGGTTCGAGTTATTTTACCGTTATAAGTTAACCTTGTTCGGTATAAGGTTAAAAGAGGGGGTAAAAAAGGTTACTTATTATACCGTCTTTACGTTTTACGTTTTTTAATATAACCGTTAACCGAGTTTTTAAACTTTACACCGTTTTTTTTAATAAAACGAATATATTAACCGTTTATACGACGTAAAGTAGTAAAGTAACCTTAATAGTTCGAAAAGGAGAGGTTAAAGTAATTAACGTACTTTAACGGTTAAGTATAAGGTTTTAAAAGGTATTCGTAAAAACGTATAACGTATTACGAGTACGTCGATAATAACGAGTAAAACCCGTAAGTGTAATACTATTAATAATTAAGGTCGTAACGTTAAACTTTTAGTTTATATACGACGAGTTTTATACGGTTATTAATTTTAAAAAACCGAAAAGGTGTTATAATTTTAATAAAATAAATAAACTAGTTAATAAAACGGTCTTTATCGTAAGTTTAATTAATAAATATTTTAATAACCTATATAAAACGTCGTTAAGTTTTAACGTACGTTTTTTTACGGACTTATTCTTCGTTTACCCGAATAAAAGTAGTTTAAAAAACGTTATAAATAATATTCGGTACGTTATTTATTATATAATTATACTACGTTTTAAAAGACCCGACTCGATTAACCTTTAAAACGTTTTTAATAATTTATTTATACGTTTTTACGAAAAGTGTGTTTTAAACGGTAACGTTCGTTATAATTATAACGTAACCGGTACGAGAGTCGTAAATCGAACGAATAAATATTTTTAAAATATCGGTGTTATTAGTAATAATCTTTCTTACTTAATAAAAAAGAGTACGTTATAATTTTACTACTTTATTTTTATATAAAGTAATAATAATACGAAAGTCGGGTTTAATTTAAAACGTTCGTAACGTTTTAAATATTTTTTTATAAATAGTTATACCGTTTTATAAAACGAATACTTTTAAAAAGTTAATAATACTTTAATTAATTATTACGGTATATAATAAAGTTAATATTATAACGATTAAAACGGGTAACGATTTCGAGTTTATTATTAAAACGACTTTTAATAAACTATTTAATAATAAAGTTTATTTATTAAGTTTAAAGTTTATAACGTATATAATTATAATTATATAATACTTTACTTTTTTAAACTACTTTATAACCGTATATATATACGTTAACGAAGTTATAATAAAGTATTTAAAAAAGTCGTTAAAATATATATTTAATTTCTTTAAAATTTACGTATTAATCTTTTAATTTAATAACTTATTTTATACGGTTTTAATAACCGATTAAAAATTAAACGTTATACTTAAAGTATTCTTTTAAATAACTTTAAAAAAAATACGGTAATCGTAACGGTTTTAAAAAACTACCGACCTACGACGACTCTCGTTACCGTATCCGGAACTAGTGTATTTATATAAACACCGTCCGCCGGTCGAGCTAACGACGAACGGTCGGGGGTCACCGGCCTAACGGTATTGTCGACGGCGGCCATAGTCGTCGACGGCGAGAATAAGGGGTTCAGGGGCTGTTGTTAGTGTCACCCGTAAATCATACGCGTGGCACTAACAGGAAGTCACGTGATAGTAATGTTGTAAGAATTTTTCAGGGGAAGGTTGTGAGCTAACTTTAGGATGGGTAATATATAGTCGTTGGGCCCTCTTATCTTATCGCCGATGTTGGCCGCTACTTAAAAAAGTCTGTTCCAGACAGACATCCAACTTTCACTTTCACGTCACGACGCCCAACAAGCGGTGTATTCACGTACCAGTTTGTTCCGAACACGACGGACTACGAGGGCACAAGTCACCACAACATCGAATTTAATACACTTTAAAGGAACGCCAAGTGATCTACCGCGATATCGGCAAAACATGGAGCTGGGTGCTCTATTACGGAGGGGTCGATACGCACAGGTCCTTACGCACAGCGATGCTTACGGTTTTATTAAGACATTTGCCAACGACACTTTGAAAAGGGGGCCAGTAGAGTCCAATACTACAAAAGATGGACTGACAAGAAGTACCGACGTTGCGCTGCCTGTTGGCCTGGCGGCTTTTAACGCCTTTTTGCAGGTCAACGTGACTGGACCTGTTCTGGAATCGTCCGAGCAAGTACAGGAGCTGCTCGCACAATTCGAACAGCCGGAAAGCGTACCACTGTCGTTGAGACGGGCCTGTTTACAAAGCCTGGACATTGATGGTGTCTCTGTGTACCCTTACATTCCACATATTGAGTTGTTTTGCCTAGCACGATGGGTGTTTCTCGTGCATTTCGCCGAAGCTAGCTTCGGCCCTCTGGTCACTGATGCTCGAGATGGGGTGGATGCAGACCCGGCAGAATGTACCCTGGCATGGTTGAGGCTTCGCATTCATGCGTGGCACTATAAGCTTCTGACGGAACCAAACCCCGGGCCGGGTTCAGTTTTTAACAAGATGACGCAGTGGAACGACCTACCTACTCTACAAGAGCAGATACAGCGATGTCTTGACGAAACTGAGCAGCAAATCAACACGAAGGGCAAAGCATGTAGACAACAGGACCAAGTCCAGTTCTTGATCGAAAAAACCACTATCTACGCTATGATTGGTCAGGATGCCAAGGCGCAGGCCGCTCTTGACGCCGCGTCAACATTGGATCATTTCGAGTACGTCTTGTCTGGCGCGTTGGGCAAGCGGACCCGCTTCCAAGAAAAGAGCACCAGCCAGTTGGTGATTCTCGCCAAAAGCGCGATTGTATCGGAGTCGTTTATGAGCCAGTCGAATGGGCCAGGTATTTCGGGCACCGTGGCAGACGGGGCTGAGGACATGGCGGCAGCAGCTGTTCCCCAGGCACTGCCGTTGAACAACGACACGCTGTTGGAGAACATTGACTTTACGGATGCGAGAATGGCCCTGTCCAAAACAGCCGAAGAAGACGTGAATAACGCGCAAGACCAAGCGCCATCCCCGGTCAACGCGATCCCGGCCTCGCTGCGAGACCTCTCTCCTGATGATCAACCGCAGCTGTCACCACTGGACCAAATCATCCTCCTCAGTGTCGCCACTCTTAAAGACGCTTTCTCTCCGGCCGACGCTCTCACGCTGGAGGAGATTTTACCATACGCATCGCGTGTTCTTGCCGATAAGTCGACAAACTGGCAGATTTACTCCCAAGCTTTGATCGTACGCTCGCGGATCGAGCTCCACCGCAGTCGCACGGTCGAGCGAGGAGTGCTTCAGATGCAGGCCATGGTCGATCAGGTAGTTGTAGACACAGCAGCGGCAGAGGTCACAGGAGTCACAGACGCTACAAAGACCCAGATTGGGGTAGTAACAGAAATCACTGATGACGATGATGGCGGGAACGCAATACCGGCTATCGAAGTGACGGCGCCAGGCGAAGCAAAGCAAGTCGACAAACAAGCCAACCTGCCCACATCATTCTTCCCAGCACCCAAGCCAAGTGAACAGGCACCACCTCAGGTCCGACTACGATATATCCACGCGCTTGCTACGCCTCCGAAGTGGCATCTAGAAGCGGAGCTTGCCTTTGCCTGGGCAAGTGTCGGCTCCCTCATCTCCGCGCTTGAAATTTTCAAACGACTGCGGCTTTGGGCAGAAGTCGCTCTCTGTCTTGCGAGCAGCTCTGCTATCGATGATGGAAACGGTCGTGGTACCGGTGGCGAACAGAAGGCACGGGGCCTACTCCGGTGGAAGCTGTTCCAGGCATCGGACCCTTCTTTGGAACCAAGGAGTGGTGAGGACGGAGCTGATTTGGACGTTATGTCTTTGAATGGTTCCGATTTTGACGGCCCCGAGCGCGATCCCCCTCCTGCTAACGCTCCCCGACTCTTCTGTATCCTGGGAGAGATCGAGAACGAACCCAAATATTACGAGAGGGCATGGGATTTATCGAACGGCCGATACTCGCGAGCGCAGCACTCCCTTGGCGAGCATTACCTACAGCTGCAAGAGTGGGAGAAGGCGCTTGATGCATATAAAAAGGCCGTGTCGGCGAACCGTCTGAACTCGCAGTATTGGAGCCGACTGGGCGACATCAATCTTCGCTTAGGTTTATTCTCTGAGGCTGCCGAGGCTTTCAGCCGCGCCATTGGTGCGGCGAGTGGCGCTGCTGGAGGCGAGGATGCGCGGACGTGGAGTAACTTGGGTAGTGCCCTTTACAGCCTGTACACGCAGACTATGAAAGAGCGCCGGGACGAAACCATGCTTAAGAAGGAGAGCGCTGACCAGGACGAGGCAGCGCCCCCTTTCTCAGCGGCGGATGATAGTGATGACGAGGACGGAAACAATGAGCCAGAGGCAGCCGAAGATGCTGCCGCGATGGCCAAGAGAGACCCTGCGAAACTGCTGACACAGTCTCTGACGGCCTTCAAGCGTGGCGCCACGATCTCACATGACAACTGGAGAATTTGGGACAATGTTGTGACGCTTGCATCCCGTGTGCGGCCACCGGTAGTCAGCGATATTACTCTGGCCATGCGCAACATCCTGACCGTGCGCAGTACGGAAGAAGCCATCGACATTGGTGTTGTGCGCCTGTTGCTGAATGAGTCAGTACTGAGCAAACCCAAGCCGGTCGGCGGTGTGCCGCCTCGGGGTTCGCAGGAGAAGGCTGTTTGCGACCTGGTCGAGAACATTTTTGTGCCTATGATTACGAAGCGAAGTGAGCTGTGGGAGCTCGTCGCTCGAGAACGTGTGTGGCGCGGCGACTACGCAGGTGCTATCGACGCAGCCGAAAAGGGCTGGCGTGCGGCTGTTGGCGGTGCCAACAGCGGTGCGCTCGGCTCGACGATGGCCGAGACCAAACCGGGCGAAGTCAGCGATGAAGAGAAGCGCAACTGGCTTGAAAACAGCGATGCGTGGGACAACGTTGTGGCCCGCACTGATGAGCTTGTATCGATACTGGAGAATTACGGACCCGATGCTGCTACAGTTGGCTCACGGTGGAAGATGAAGGCGCGGAGTGCCCTGCGCAGCGTAATGGGCAAGGGCAAGGAGTGGTGGGAAGGCAGCGATGGATGGAAAACACTGGAGAACCTTCTCGAGGGACTGAAATAGATGCCCTGACAGCCTTAACAAAGGCATGCTGGAGGAAACTTGATTTATTGATAGACAAAAGAGTGAAAGGTGAACAATACGTCTCACGATGCGAAGTCACGGATTGTACTATGCGTGACAAGCCCTGCTACCTTCCACGGCTGTCTTGATTCGACAAGGCACGAGACGGCATATCGTCCTCCGAGTAACAACTGCAAACGGGCACACGGAGACTCACGTAACGCAATAATGGCGTTGAAGTCACCTGGTATAATGCGGCGATTGCGCTGGGGAATGAAACATCACCCGGTGCTGGTGAATGCCAGCGAACGGCAACGAATGTCTCTGTAAGGCGTCCAAATATGCGAACACAGCGATGTAAGACAGGACACGGCGCTGGCGGAGAGGTGGGCTTGCAAGCTTACTGATGGACGGCATGCTCAACATGACGACCTGGTAGCCATCTGAATAATGTGGTCGCTCGACATGACTGCGGTTTGCCGCATTCCGTTGTCTTGGATGAGCATGAACAGACAGTCAAAGTCTTAAAGGTATCATCCGATCGATGCCCGTGGTTAAATGCGCGTGTGCATACAGAGGCGAGGGACAAGGCGAAGTAGGACGTGACGCAAATCTCACGGGGCCCGAGATCAGCTCCCAACAATACGGCACCCTGGTGACAAGAGGAATATGCCTCTCTTGGGCAAAGATCCTCCATAGTCTATTTTCTTGCCCCCCCCCCCGGATCCTATCGCTGCGCATTTCCCGTATTTCGCAACCATCCAACGAAGAGCATAACTCGGAAAAATATGGGCATCCAATGTTACGTCGATTGCGACGCGTTCAGACTTGATAAGCCCTCGTGGCCTGTCGTTTCCCTGAAGCTACGAAACGTATTCCGTATATTTTCCTTCAAAGGAGAGGCCAGGAGGCAAGGAGTTAAAGGGGCTGAAGACGTAAAGAAGGCGAGGAGGCGAAGATGGGCTGAGTGATCGGCGCTCGCCTCTGGGGCTCTCTCCGGCTACAGGCTGGGCCCCGGTGGCTCCCTCTTTCGCTGTACTGGTATCCATTCGACATATACTTTTGTAAATGTAGCGTCTGTGTATCATGACTCTTACTTGTAATGCAGGAAGTTATGGTTACCGTCTAAGCTCTTCGATGTCGGGGCTGCTGAAGGCCCATTGTCGTGATAAGCAACGCTGCCATGCTGTCCAGTGGACTGGAAGAAGGGTCTGGATCGGGGTACAAGGTAGATACAGTGCACCGGCGGATGACGGAATGCATCTTACCGTTCACAGATGCATATGTGCAGCAGATTTGTGGTCTTGTGCCCGCGCACTGTTTCGCATGGCGCAAGCGCCCTGGTCCCTCCTCGCCAAAGAGAGCCCGTTCTGGCGCTTTGTCCCTCGTTTGCTGCCCCATTGGGAAAGCTGCATCCTTGCCATCTGCTTGTTGTTTCTGGGCAATCGCTTTTGGGTTCCTCGATTACAGGCGTGCCTACTGTTGGGTCTCCGGGGCGGTCTGTCGAATCGCCCAAGTGCTTGAGGTAGGTGCGTCCGACGAAGTAATACTATCTGACCAAGTGGATTGTGACTTTCGTCGTTCCCTCCCTCCTTCGTCTGGGTTACTCTTCTCCCCTTACCTTTTCGCTCTTTCTTTCTCCTCTTCTCTTGCTCCGCTTCCAGCTCTGTGGCGGTTGCATCTTGACCTTCTAACTTCCTTGCTTCGAGGCCTCCTTGCTTCGTTTTCGCTCGGCTTCTTGACAGTTGTACTGTCTTGGCTGGCCGTTAACTTGAACCGGTCTAGTGGCGCGTCGCGCTTTTTTGTCCTCCCTTGCTCCCCCTTTGGCCTGTCATGGAGCCTCACACCCAATCCCAACTGCACCCTGGACGTAGATCATTTCCACGGCCCGCCTCGCTTGCAACCCAAAAAGTCACGGTAGTACGGTATCACCTCCCTCGGCGCAGCATAATTTTCGACGCACAAGTTCGACATACACATCGACAGGTTGGTGAAGGCCGTGTTTAGTAATATCAGGTACTGTGTATTTTATCGAGGCTTGGCACAGCAGTACTTTCCTCTGGAAAGCTCACAACATGCTGGCCAAAAGGAAGCAAGGGCAATCCTACAAAGTACTACGAACATTCGCGAGTATCATATTCCTTGTACAGAGCGAATTGGCAGGTTCTTCGTCCCGACCAGGTACTGCCAACCCAAAGAGCAACTGGCGGGGACGACCGCTTCAACGTCCTGCGCTCGTAACGCAAGCAATGCGACGCTGCAAGTGACATCCAGAACCGCACCAAGGGCACTAAAACAAACAAGGGGCAGGCCGTATGCAAAGGATAAAGGCGGGGACGACACTCCGATGACCCGCAACTGGCTTTTAAAACCGAAAATACAACTGCAGTCGCGACAAAAGGCTACAGGCACGGTGCAGTGGAGGAAGCTACCCTTTCTCGATCCCAGCCCTTGAACCTGCTTGGGATATGCTTGTTTACCTGCCTAATCCCATCACCAGGCCATCTGCCATTGGGTCAACGAGCATGGAGATGCCTGGGAGGATGTAACGGTACTGAATTGCGCCTGCAAGAGACGAGTAGCGATCAAAAGTAACACCAGCGCCTTACGACAAGTGCCTGGCGGGTCTCTTGTTAGCTATACCTACTCATTATCCACCTGCTGGGCCCTCGTGACAAAAGTTCGCACCTTGCGTCCAGAGCTCGATACGGAACATGACGATAGGCGCGTTGGACGATTAAAACAACAAACAAGGACAGGGCGTGGTCTGCTACAAAAACGCAACAAGTCTGTCAGAAGCCACCTGTTGGACCAACATGGACGGCCTGAAGCAAACGGACGTGCAACACGCTCATTTTCCTTTCACACTGCAGCCAGTCAAACAATGGCTCAATGTCATTCGCCATCTCGCGTTACGTTATCGGCTGGTTGCAGCTGGGCGCCCAGATTAGGCCCAGGACACGGGAGGTGGCAGACAAGACCCAACGGGACAAGGCAAGACCTGCACTGCACATCTTCTATTAGCACCATACGAAGCAGTCAACGGAAGCACGCAATCTATCTGTGGCTCCCGGGAAAGTGGTTCCAAGTTTCATACAAAGACAGCCGTGCCTACTGCCTGGCGTAATATATTCACAGCCGTTCATGAATCCACGAACCCAGGAACTTGGTATTTGGACAAACGACATGGTCGATAAAAGGGCGTCTGTATCCGCAAACTCAAACGCACGAGAAACATGGGCGGAGACCAGCTGGCACCGTTCCAGACATTGGCAGCGCCTTAGTTTGCTCTATACGTTGCAGTGTACCATATCAATGCCTCATACACAGCTTCTCATACATTTTCTCGTTTTCCATGTGGCAGGCCGTTTGGTACATTCATTGCTCGCTACAATCTCACGCAACCGGCCTCTGTTGGTCACCGCCTCTATCTCACCCTAATGGCTATTGGTTGGCAGTGTTGCGCAGGGCTCGCTCGACTCGTACGACCTGTGGGAAGCAGATGAGACAGTAAAAGACTGCCAATCTAGGGCGGCAACTTTTTTGATGTCGAAAGGTTACAGCAACAAAGGGTGCATGTACCTCTTGCAGGTGCGTCCATTGGTGAGGCTGACGTGCCACCAGAGAGCGCCTGCCCCCGTCTCACATCTCTTGCCCTCTCTACCCACACCTGGTTTTCCCACTCGTTTTTATTTTATTTTTTTACTTTTTCTTTTACGGACGTAGGGACTTTTGCAGAGAAAGGATAGCCTTATTTGCATTGTCCGTTACTGCCTTCCCATATGTTCGCCCTTTTCAACCCTTTTCATCTCTCCTTTCTTCAAACGGGTGTCACTTCCTCACCGTCTCATTGCAGAGCTGATGCTCTTGACACCGATGGGCTACGCCACTGGCGGCTACCGATCATGGCAGTGATTTTTTACCTGCACGATATACTATGCACCTGTTCATGTTTCTTTACTATTGATGTGCAAATGGCAACATGGATACCAAATAAAAGGACACAAAAGAGATGAACAGGGCCATCCGTTTTTCATGCGTTGGCGGATGACAGTGAATGTGGTGCGGACGGTGTCACGGCGGGTATTCCTGGTGCCCATTCCGTATTTCGTTCGCGTCTTGGCTGGAGAGAGGGTAAGCGAGCAGAGTGTTCTGTGTCACACGCAAGCTCTTTCGTTCACGAACACTTCCTCCCTCCCTCTGTTACAATTCCTTTTTACCTTCGCCAGCGTAAGTCGGCTTCGTCTCTGGCCCGCCTGTATGTTCGGCCAATTTTGGCGCTTCGGGTATGCCTACCGGAAATTCACACTGCAGAAGTTTCTTTGCTGGAGAGCTTGCATCGCCGATGTTGTCGTTCCTGGTGCCGTTTTGTACCAGATGTACAGCTGGTCTCTATTGCCCATTTGAGAATGCTGGGAGATGAAGTAAAAATGAATAAGAGGCAAGATAGGATAAAAACATGCACACTCACGTTCTGCCTTGACGGCGGCCTCTGAAACTGGCCACACATACTGCAATGAGGTTCTTCAATACTGGTAGCACTAATTATCAAGGTGTTGGCAGGTCCTTTCGGCAGTTTGTCCCGTTTCATCCCATCCTAACTTTGCTATTTTAGTTCCCTGGTGGATTCACACGGGTGACACATGATCCATGATTGCTGTTCGCCCACTTGTCTCGCATCGATGCGCACCAGATGCTAGTTGTGGACAGCCTTGACGGCCAGTTTTCTTTTTCTGACACTTGCAGGAACTCCCACCTGCCTCGCCCACTGGCACCATTGCAGCCTGTCTAATGAGCACCAGGAATACTAGTCTGGGTTTAAGAACGAACGTTAGGGTCTGAATATCTATGAGTTGTATGCATGTGTCTCAACGGCAGAGAGTTGCCATTTTTCCTGCACCTGTTTCCCTATCCCTGCATCGAAATTATAACATATTTTGGAGCTATTTCCTGGAACTTTACCATCCCTCCTAAGTTGCTAGGAATTAACTGGCAAAGAG